AGGGATCGCAAGGAATGCTGGGACAAAAGGGAGAGAAAGGAAATGAAGGGCCTCGTGGAAAGAGCGGACCACCAGGAATAATGGGAATAAAAGGAGCGCGCGGAACTGTGGGCGATCAAGGAATAAAAGGCGATAAGGGAGAGAAAGGAGAAAGCGTGACAAGTCCTTCTAGTGCAGTGCCGCAAACCAACTGGAAACAATGTGTGTGGAAAAATCTGAATGATGAGCGAGATAGCGGTAAGATCAAGGTAAGAGAAAAATGTTCTGATTAAGAATGGTTATGTGCAAAATTACTTTTATCACCTAATGTAAGTTAAAATTCAGGTTCAGAATTCGACAAGGATTTATTTGAGACAGAGAATCATGCTGTTATTAACCAAAGTATTTTTTCAGCTGGTTTCATATCATGGTGACGGTAAACTGATATTACATCTTTAAGATAATGAGAAGTGGAATGGTGACGTGCGTATTGGAGTATTGAGCATCCATTCTCATTTATTCTTTCATCATTACTTAGCAAGACAAGTGTGACATAAGAATCTTTGTTACGTCCACATACTACGTAAAGAAGAATCGTCGAAAACTCAGAAACTTCGTACCATCATACTAAATACACAATTCCAATGTAAAATTAAGGTGGCCGAACACAGTTTTCGCGCGCGCTTTTGCTGGTGCAATTGAACGCGCGCACAAGGATTGCAAAGAGCGATCATTTTATTTACTCAACACCCGCACTATCTGTGCTATTTTTTCTCGATTATTGAACGCAGTGTGTTGATGGCTTTAGTCTTTTATGACAAAGATATGTTAGAAAAGGTAACGACGCAAAGAAACCAGCAATTCTCAGCTTTCTCTTTGTTACCGAAAGAACCCAGTTAAATGCAAGCATGCGCAGTTGCTCGAAAAATTGAGACTGATTGCTTTTGAGAAACTTGCGGATTTCTGACGATCCAGTCGTTAGAATTTCAAGAAATTTGGAAAAAAAAAATAGTTCAGAAGCCACGTGAATGATCTATCGAAAAAAAATCTGAATTTTGACAGAGGGAATTTTTAATAATACAGAACATGCGGTAAAAACGATTTACGACGAATTACGAAAATCGCCTATGTC